GTCAGCCCTTTGCTGTTGTGAGCCTCACAGCTGAACAGTGCTGTTTCGTTAAGACCTGCAGTGGGAAAAACAAGGAGCTGCTCCCTGTGCTGCACCAAACACCCCAATCACACCAACTGCCTACCTGCTCTTCACAGAACACTCTTGTGGCTTCCTTTGTTTTACTTCTATGATTCTTCTTTTCCAGTAACACAAAAGATCCCTCTTTTTTCGCACTGATCACTTCCTTAGCCCTTCTGGTGGCCGAAGGCGACCCCCCATTATCCAGCTCACCCACCTTGTGCACCACGAGCACGTGAGCACGGGCGCTGAGATCCGCCAGGACGGACAGGACCGTGTGTTTTCATGGACCCCTTGCACAACCTCCTGAGTAAGCACTTCTTTGGTATCCAAAAAGGGAAAGACAGAAAGCAGAAGAGCCCACCACCATGGCTGGAACCAAATGACTTAATACTTGTCGAAGATTGCTCAAATCTCCCTGCTGATCAGACTACTTCTCGGGGTTGCTGGAAATACCCAAGTGCAGATTTCTGCTTGTTATCCCTAGAGTCTAAGCAGGGCCTGTGTGAGATGACCCCAGCAAGCTACACCGCTCAGGACTTCAGTCTTGGGCAAAGAGCTCTTCTGCAAGCGCAGAGCTTCGCTCCACGGCGTGCAGGGAGCTCTACCTATGAGCATTCATTCCCCTGCTGCCTGCTCCAAGAAAATTGTGTGTGTGACATTCACAGAAGTCATTCAGCTCAAAGATCTGCACGCACAAAGATCTGCATGAGCCCATTTAGCCAGGTACACAGCAGTTGCTCCAGAGGTGGCTGCAAAAGGTGACAAGGTCACTCACTGGGATGGAAAAGGGGAAGGGAGAGGATCTATCAGCCTGTTCCACTATGCCAGCACATCCCAGTGCCGTTTGGATAATATCCAGGTCTTCATTTTACAGCCTTTTCCTCTCTCGTGGAAGGAAAAAGAGTCCCTTGTAGCTGCAGAACTGGAATGAACCCATTCATTGTGGACAATCCAAGCCCGGAGAGAAATTGAGGATATTTGGATACCACCAGGATATAACCCTGTAGCAAGAGTCCCTGTAGCTGCAGAACTGGAATGAACTCATTCATTGTGGACAATCCAATCCCGGAGAGAAATCAAGGATATTTGGATACCATCAGGATATAACCCTGTAGCAAGAGTCCGTTACTAGGAGAATTAAAAACAACTTTATCTGGGTTGATTTCAGTGAAATGCCTTCCTGTAGCTGCAACACAGAGAACTTTGCTGCTCAAAAAAGCAGCAGTCTGAGTTCAATAGGACTCCTGGACGAGGAGACTGTTCAAATGACCCAACCTAATGTTTACCAACCGGATGCAGGAAAATCCAAGCGGAATGAGTCACTTCTTCCGGCTTTCACTGTCTTTTAAAGTCCATCTTCAGAAGCCAAGTCAGTTATAGTCTAGCTGCTAATAAGGTACTGGCCCCCTTCAAGAAATTCTGCCTCATTTTTGCACCTGCAGCGAAATCACACCAGGATTTGTGTTGCAATGAAGGACTCTTCTCCCTGTGCTCCACCAAGGTGGCACGGAGACACGATGCCAACACTTGGCCTTCTAGAGACAAAAGAGCAGATAACCAGTAAAATAGCCCACAACAGCTGCAAGGTACTGGGTGGGTTGGCTATGGGAAAAAACGTGCTTGTTGAGCAGGACAGAATTTGTGTGCCCTTCTTCTGGGGAGCAAATTCCTGCAGCCAAAGGCAGCTGCATGGGGGTTGCTGTCCCCAGGTCACCTCTGATGGAGCAGTCCCCAGCACAGATGCTGCTGGGCAGAGCCTGCTCGGGAGGGAGGATGGAGAGGGGCAGTGGCAGGTTGGCTACGTGGCTGAGCATTGGAGAGGAAGCTCAGGAGATGGAGCTCAGCGGATAGGAAGAGATCTCTGAGGTCACTAGTCCAAACCCCAGCTCAGCGCACAGACATCTTTGAAGTTAGATCCAGCTTCTAAGTTAGATCGGGGTTCTCATGGACCAGTCAAGCTATGACTATCTCCACAGATGGAGATCCCACCGTCTCTCTGGGTCCCTGTTCCAGGTGAGGAAAAGCCTTCAGAGGATGGAAATGACCACAGCCAGAACAGGGAACGGGCTCCCACCAAAGACTGGACTCTGGTCTCCTTTGGATTCCCCCAACGCATTCCTATTGCTGCCCCACCTTCCAGGAGCAAATGACATGTGAACTGGAGGGCTCTACATTAAATTCATGACTACAGCATGTAGGTACTCAAAGAGATGCCCAAATGCCAAGCTATTCGTGCAGCAAAGGTGTCCAGCACCTTCACCAAAGCTCTGCAAGCTCCTTGAACACGCTTTTCATCCTGTGCCTCCTTGACACCACCGTTCCCTGTTCCCTGTGGAACAGTCTGCCCGGGGCCACCACAGTCCCACAACATTAACTCAGTCCTTGACGCCAAGATTACAGCCTTCCAGCCAAGCAACAGACGGTGACAGACACATTCCTGCCCTTCCCTTTCCAAAGGCCATGCAGAGGCCTCCCCAGCACGCCAGGATGCTCCCAGGCTCACCTGGCACGGTCAGCACGGACGGGGAGACGTGAGGCTTTGCATTGACTCGGATGTTGTTCCGAAACCAGTAGATCTCCACAGGCTCCGGCGGGCCCACGGCTTGACACGTGAGGTTGAAAGGGCTGTTCTTGGTGACGTTCAGCTTCTCGGGCTGACGAATGAAGTGTGGGAGCCCTGCGTGGATGCAAGAGGTGAAGCAAGAGATTCAGAGATCACAGCATCATGCACGTGGGCAATAGTTGTAAGAACAGCCCCCAGACTGGCCCTCCTGGGGCTGCCCTCTGGCAGCAAGCCCCTTCCTATCCAATACTCTGCATTGCTGGGGGATAGGCAGCAGCCCCAAAGTCACAGCCCTTGGGGCTGCCCCTCCGACAGATCTCAGCAGATCCCACAGTTCCAACACTTCCAGGCTCGCTCGCTTCCAGCTCACCTTCCAGCTGCACGAAGATGGGATCGGATACAATCTCCACATCGGAGACGTTGAGTTTGCAGACGTAGGAGCCGTTATCCGAGCGCTGGGCAGCATGGATGCTACAAGAGAGAACAGAGACCATGGAAGGGCTTTAACGGGGAGACTTGTCCTGCAAAAAGCTTCCACAGAGAGACACAGCAACACTGTGAAGTTAGAGGTGGGTTTGAACCAGCACTACCTAACACAGAACACACATGGAACAAGAGCTGGGCTTCCAAAATCAGGTTTCGAGGACTATGGTGGGTCAGAATGAAGATTATTTTGCTCCTGACAGCTCTGCTGGCACAGCCTTTAATTGCAAACGAGCAGAGCTCAGTCAATCCAGTACAGCAGTTTGTTTTCCTCCACGGTTTGTTGAGGAGAGCGCCTAAGAAGAGCTAAGCTCTGGACATTGAGCAAACTTCAGTCCTCCTCCACACAAAGCAGTTTCCTCCAATCCCAGTCGCAACCTCCTACTCTTGCTACCTCGCTGCCCTCCAGCCTCTCCCCCTACCCAGCACCCAGGGGTGCAGAGGGTCCTTCCCCCCTGCACGAGAAGGTCTGCACCTGAAGGTGGAGGTCATGGCCACCTCGTCCTCGTCGGAGATCTCGAAGTGGCTGGTGGCAATGCGGTCCAGCGCGTGCAGCTCGCGCCCGTCCTTCCACAAGGAAATGCCGGGGGCGTCTGGCCTGGCCAGCCGATGAGGCACTTTGATGGAGCAATTGAACGTGACATCTTTGTGCTCGTTAATCACAATGTGTCCCACCGTGGGGTTAAATTTAACCTGTCCTAGAGAGCTGGCTGCGGGCTCTTCTTGGGGCTGCTTTGCGCTCTGGTGAGGCCGGTGACCAAGGGGACTGAGGTCTCTCTTAGCACGGTGGGACTCTGCTGGCACCACTTCTGCTGACAGCGAGAGGGACGGCCTGAGACCTCGATTCCTGCCAGCAGCACCTGCAAAAAAACAGTTTTGTTATTGCCAGCCAGGAAATCTCCTAAAAGTGCCCCCTCCAAAACCCGACTGCGTCAATTAACAATTAGAGGTTGTTCGTCTGCAGATGCACTGAAAATTCAGAAGCTCTAAGAGAGATCTAAGAGCCCCAAGGAGGTAACATGGAGCTGATGGCTCCAAGAGTGGATGGACAAGAAACACCTGGAAAAAAAACACTTAAAACAGATGAGAAAAAGTGCTTGATTGCTGAGACTTCTCTTTGGCGGGGAAAAGGTAGGGGCTGGCGGCAGTTATTTCTGTGGAATCACACCCTGGAGACGGGGATATAAAAGCAGCAGGATTTGACTCGGGCCGGCTCTAGCTAGCTTGGACCCAGAGCTCCTTTCCCTGGACCTAGCAGCCTTGACACGGGAAACCTGGACCTCAGATGGCCCAAGGAAGTTGGGTTGGATTAAAAATAAAGGGCACCCAGCTGAGCTATGCAGGATTGCAGGGGCATTTGAAGGCATTTGCTGGGCCAGCCTTTTCTTTCTGATCAACGGCCGGGAGTCACGGGGTGGTGTAAGCTGATCCCGCTCCTTTTGGTTCAATTAACATGACCAAAATGAAGGGGGAAAGGGGCCTCAGGCAGCCAAAGGGTCCCAGGAGGGGGATGTGCGGGTCTGTTTCCAGGCTGTTTGCAGCAGGGTGAGGGGAGCAGCTTGCAGTGCACAGGGGACACAGCGGTTTGGGGACATCAGGGAAAGGCACAGAGCAAAAAAAGCCACTCGGGGCAACCGCTCTGCCCAGCCGGTAGCTGCTTTTTGTCACAGAGATGCTCTGGGAGCCGCTCACAAAGACATTTCTGCAAACCGCCTCCACTGAGCTGCTTCCAGAGCGAAAACAACCGGATTGATGAAGAAAGGCATCCAAACGGTGTGTAGGAGCGGGTGCCATTTAGCATTGCTTCCCCCGTGCCGCATTCCACTCGGCAGACTATTTTTTTCCAAACATTTTTCCCAAGGGAGGGTTCTCTCAAAGGGCTTCATTCTCCCACCTACAAATTAGTTAACATACAAAGTCCTTCGACTGCATTTTCCTCCTCCCTCCCAGCACTTCCCACGCCAGCCAGCCAGGAGCAAGATGAAGAGCAGCTCCATATAAAGCAATTCCCCCAAAACAAAACTTTTCAGGGAAAAGATCTACGGAATATCCAACAACTGCTTTCACTAGATCATTCCCAAGCCTGAGGTTTTCCCACGTATACCAAAATCCCCAGCAGATTGGTAAATCTACCTGGCTGCTTTCAACAAACAGGGGCTTTGTGCTGGACAGAAATTTGACCTAAATTAATATGCTACTTCCAAAAAAAAACTACTTATGGTATGGTAGTTATGCAGGTAAACGAACAGTCTTTTTACTTAACCAGAGTTCAGCCGAGCTCGTTTTGAGGCAAACATTAGTCCCAAAACATGCGACAACCCCAAGCTTTTCAGGCCATGTCATTACTATTGTGAGTAATGGAGCATGAGTCTAGTGTACTTTTCGGGCAGCCAAGAAACACAACCTAATTTTGAGGCTGGATAGAGGCCTTCGCTAAATTGCTCGCTATTTTTAACTCCCCAGAAACGATACTTCTAGAGAGAAATTGGAGAAGCGTTTTCAAGCTTGCCGAGCCCGCTCTGACGGAGCAAATAAAGGGCTTTAGCCGCTGCTCCCTCATCCGCACGATCCCAACACAAACAGATCCCACGTGACGGCGGCCGAACTCACCCCGGGTGCCAAGGGACCGGCTCTAAAACGCCCGGGCAGCCCCAAAAAGCTTGGC